ATAAATAATATTAAAGTTACATAAAAATATGTGTTAATATTCATATTGCATGACAAAAATAGTAGGTATTTAACGTAAATGCACGACGATAAAACGAGGTTTTTCCTTCGCTGATACTTATTGTTTATTTTTATCTTCTAGTATAGCAAATAACTATTTTTGAGGTGATTATTTACTACTATAATGCAGCCGAGAAGCAAACAAAATACAAATTCAAAGTATTTATCTATTACACAATAGACTAAATCAAATCTGTTTTTTATACTTACATTAAAATGATCTTAACATACATGGGCAGTACCCTTCTCAGAAATATCCTTGCATACCTTTACTCTTTAACCATTTTAAACGCCGGCTTTTATCTCGTGGTACAAGAATAAATAGCTTTTCTGGCGTTTTAAAGGCTGGACTAGGGCACAGTGGCCCCATACAGCATTTGTAATATTGTTTTTGTGTTGCTTTCATTATTAATAAAGCACAGCACGAATTCTGAACATTCAAACACCCAGACAATTCAACGACAAGCCGTATTCCCGTATTGGCTTTCAATCGAACGACCAGCGATATGACGTTACAACCATTCTCGCGCGCTTAGTGTCGTTTAGAGCACGTCCCAAGTAAGGCCAACCAATTGCCCGTATCTTCTCTGAAGAACCAGATGACGATCGGCTGCTGCCACCTTCCCAAGATGTCTGCAACGTACCCGTCATGACAAGCGTCTAGGCACACCAATATTCCCCCGATCCACGCGAGGTGCGCATAGTTTGTCAACTGTTAGTTTGGAGGTTATTCCGTTTGAATCATCAATAATAGGGATCCTTAGACAAGGAAAGAGAGGGGACGCGTAACATCCTTTACTAGCCGTATTCGTGTAGTGAAGCCAAAATTGGAGTCAACGCCATTTACTGGTGACAAACATTCGCGGTGACATTAAAAGTTGTTTTGCGGTTTGTGTGTGATTTTTAAATTAAAGACCAAAATATTTGTAATTGTTTACGATGGTGGG